AAGTCAACATCCATATCGACTGCGAAACGACTCGCCGAGGTTCGTTGCGGACTTAAGGGAGATTTAATCAAGCATGAGGAGATGGAGTAGAGGCAGGGATGGATGCTTTGTGAGCGTTTATTTTTTGGGGCATTCGATCTATCGAATAATGATTAGCGGCGATTTCAGTCGTGAATTTATTGGGAATTGTTTACAGTTTCTGGGAGACGACATGGTGAAAGATGCGGGTCTTGCGTGTCGTTTCATTATCTCGAAAAGACCAATCGGCTCACCCGTGACCGATCGTGCCATCCCACTTGCGATATTTCAATCAGCACCAGCAATCGCTGCACATTATCTGAGGAAATGGACTCACGACAGTGAGATTACAAAGGATAATATCGATATTCGTAAAGTAAGTAATGCATAGTTCTGATGTGATTCTCTTCTTCGTTCGGATACTCGTTTGGTTATTTCTAGAATTTGTTTATTTCATATTAGTCATTCATTTGCTCACTTTATTTTACCTTTTAAGGTAAGGGAGGTGCTTATTTAGGTTTATTTCGTATTTGGGTTTATTTAGATTTGCATTTCTCTTGCACTATACTCAAAATGGCAGAATCGCCTTCAGAAGGGAGTTAACTCAAAATGGAGCGAGCGATTTTCATCGCGTTTTTATCGCAAAATTTTGGGAGAGATTATTCTCGAAAAAGTTTTCCGTGCTTTGAACTGATTGATATTGATACTGATCAGATTGCGAACACACTGATCACTACTCGAATTCTCGTCGCAATAATTCCGCCTGAATTCAGATAATTGATTGGGAATATTATATCGAGCGAGTTGGTAATACCATTCAGAAGATTGTCACCATTCCGGCAGCGCTACAAAATGTGCCAAATCCCGTTCCCCGAATACCCTATCCAGACTGGTTGGAGAACAAACGTCGTCAACGTGTCAACGATCATAAACAACCAAAAATCAACGAGATGTTCCGATCACTCTCGAATAACGCGAGTAATACTGATGATGGTACTACCAACAGTGCCAGTCAGCAACAACGTGATATCGAAGATATTACACCTCGAATACGAGTAGTTGGAGATGGAGATGAGGATATTGAGACACTCGAAAAGGATTCATCGCTTTCAACAAACGGAGTAGGAAATGTTCGGTTTTTCGTTTGAAAATTGGTTGAATCGTTTGCTCATTTGTTGGAAGATCGTACATATCGAAGTTAGAGACATGCAATAAATTCAGTAGACTAAGGAACTCGGTAAAAGTTTAATCAGTGACACATTCGGAATGTTAATTGCTGAAGAATTTTGTGCGAGTAATGTTATATGAAGATGTTTAGCATGGAGGCAGTAGTTTCATCGTGACTAGCATTGTAGCTATGCATTATGTAATGGCGATAATGACAATAATAAATAAAAGCAGTAATAATGATATGGTAGTAATAACACATGATAATAGTAATGATATTTTATTTACGCAGTCAATCAACTCTCGTAGAGAAATTGGATTGGTTATTTGGATAAGCTTATGTCGATTCAAGACTTAGAATACTGTGAATTCTATTTGACTTTCAATAAAATTGCCAAAATGATAATAATAATAATAATAATAATAATAATCATCATCATTTGACTCATATTTAGGTATCAGCACGAAAACGATTGAGAGAAGATGAAAGTGATGAGTTGAATTCGTCAGTAAAAGTTCGACGGAAAGGTAAAATGAAGCAGTCGAGAACTGACAAATCTTTAGGGCAAATTGAGGGTGAGATGGCATCGTTGGTGAAGAAGACGATCGTTGATGACGGTCTTGATGCTTGGATTAAGTGAGTGTTCGAGTTTATGAATCCTTTTGTTTGTTCGTTGGGCATAGATTTGGTTATTTGACTACATATGTACATGATGTACTCGAATTCGTGTCCGAAACAAGTGAACTTTAAAATAAATCAAAACGATGATTGATACGAAAAGCAAATCAAACGGATATTTAATTTCAGTAGAGAGGATTGTTAATTCTTTCACAAAACGGAGTTGATTTAAACTTATTTGAATATTTCATAATTAGCAACTTTGAGCACATTTGATCATTCACGAATAGAAAATAATTCGATATTGTTATGGAAAACGGTGAAAATAGACAAATGGTTCTGTGCGAATGAATGTGTAATAATTTAATTTGACGCATAATAAAATGTTTGTTTGTTTCTATTATAAAATGTTAGTTGATTACTTGTCAACGTTCGTTTCAGAAATTTAATTGATTGTGAGTGAAATTTTTTTGAGATATTTGAA